GGCGAATCAGATGGCGGATGAGGAAAATTCCGATTCTGTCCCCGATTGGGGGAAAGTGGTCTACGAGGCGATTCTGGATTGGAACACGGTGGTGGTGTTGGGGAAAGGGTTGAATCTGAAGCCACGGAGGGAAGTCGATCCGGCCGAATTCAGGTGCCATTTCTCGCTGAGCAACAATTTGACCAGAGAGGAGAGCTTCGTCTTCACCACCGAAGCCACCGCCGCGGCTCAGGAAGTGGTCCGCTGCTTGCATCCGGAAAAACAACACCGCGCTTGCCGAAGGAATCCGTGTCACCGTCAGCCGCGTCGAAGATTCCGCCGCCTCCCCTGCCTCGGCCTCCCCTGCAGCTCTGCCATCGGTGGCGAAAGTGTACAACCCGAAATCCCACGGAATGAGAGGGAAAGGGGAAGAGAAGTACGAGCTCTGCGCTTGCACGATGCTGTGGAATCAAGCGCCGGTTTTGAAGGAATGAGTGATGTACCACTCGTGCCTGGGAGTGGAGTGATGGTTCATCTACGACAACAACAGCGACGACGGGCTACAAGACGTCGCCGACGAGCTCAACACGCGGAATCACAATGTCTCCAGGCACGTCTGGCCGTGGATCAAAGCGCAGGCGGCAGGGTTCTCGCATTGTGCTCTGAGAGCAAAGTACGAGTGCAAGTGGGTCGGCTTCTTCGACGTCGACGAGTTCTTCTACTTCCCTCACTACAGTGGCCAAACCCCCTTGCCAGGGCAGAACTCGCTCCGCGCCATGGTCTCGAACTACACCGATTCGCCCACGATCGCGGAGGTGAGGACAATGTGTCACAGCTTCGGCCCATCGGGGCTGACAGAACCGCCGAAGCAAGGTGTGACGGTAGGTTACACTTGCAGGCTGCAGGCTCCTGAAAGGCACAAGTCCTTCATCCGACCGTACCTTCTCGACATGACGCTGCTGAACATTGTGCATCACTTCAAGCTGAGGAAGGGTACAAGTCGACGAACGTGGCGTAGGGGACGGCAGTGATCAACCACTACAAGTACCAGGTGTGGGACACTTTCAAGGCCAAGTTTTTCAGGAGGGTTTCGACCTATGTGACCAACTGGCAGGACGATCACATGTATTTGTGTTGACACATGTATTTGTGTTGTTTCATTTGTTGCATCATATATATTTTAATTCCAGGTCATGTGAGGATCATGCTAGCCTAGACAGGGATGGTTCCGCCCATATATGATTATGGTACACCCGTCTTAATGGTCTATTTGGATGGCGGATAGGCAATGATGAGGGAGGTTTGCGGATTATGACCTTTTTTTATAAGCTATTGTTTTGGTTGGTTATACCTCAATGTTTTGTTTAATTATTTCTTGATTCCTTTGTTCTCTCTTTGGAGTTACTCACCTTAATTTAGTGGAATCTCTTGGCAATTTTCTGATAATTGACTTGCTGCTCTCAAATGCACAAATTTGCAGGATGGCTTATGGCAATGCACCAGATGCTGCTCAGCTCAGGTTTCGATTATATCTTTCACCCTGCTATCAAAGTTGACCCTTGGCTTCCGAGATATTGAAGTCTCCTCTTTATGGTTTGGCTTTATTTCTTTCTATTTCCTGGCATGGTCCTCCAATTCTTGATTGTGGGTTTTAGTTCTCAAAATCAGGACTTGCTTTTCTTGCCATGATACGACTTCAATGCATGAACCGCTTCTTTTGGTTGAGTTTTTGTTAGTGGTTTAAACAATTAGCATATTTTCTAAATGTAGGGTAATTTGGTGGGGGAGACTAATCAATTCTACATTTTCAGATACATTAGCCTACTTTCAATATGCAGTGTTTGTATGTATGATTCGAGAGTAGGGGTCTATGATCCATATGTCGTCTTTCAGGCCTGCACTTTTGGCTGATATATGTTTATCACTCCAACGAATGAAGCCTTACAAATTTATGGGGGTTGATGCTTACCCCGGGTGAGTTAGTCGGTGCATTTATGTCCTCTCCTCCCTACTGCTTTATTAGCCGTTTGTCTCACTTTTAGTCGTTCTGCTCTAGAAGGTGACCATTATATCATGTGTGATCTGATCAATTTCAATGTTTTTCATTCACGTGTTTCCTTATTACTAGCTCTATTCCCACACTTCGAAGCGATTAGTTTGAGCCTTCCAGTATATGATCCTATAAACTCATTTACAATTGAATTGTCAGTATAAGCTATTTTACTTGCATTATATAACGCTTTGGAGTTTGGGACATTTTATTCTTAAAGCTTTTAGTCATTTTTGCTATATGGTTTCGATTTTTTTATTTGGTTTAGATATTTATCCAGTTCGATCTGGCTTTCAAGTTGTACGAAATTAAGTTGGCTGAATCTATCACTTAAAAAAAAAAGTTTGCTGAATCTATCTATTTTAGGAGTCAAAAGTTCTATCATCTACTTGAAAAAGAACTCTTAAGGCGTGTGTCTATTTCTTTGTAATAACTTGGTTTGTTTTTCCTAATTATTTTCTCTGTCATTGTTGACATGACCTGCAATTTCTCATTAACAAAAAGGACTATGCATGGTTTCCTACTTCAAACATGCTTTGTAGTGTCTTCCTAGTTCCCACCGCTTCGACATTGGTGAAACACAAAGCTCCTTTGCTATATCACCAACAAAGATGTTTCATTATTATCAAAACTACGCTGGTACGTGCCTAGACTAATTGTTCTTTATCAATGCCCAGTTAGTAACTTTGTTCTACTATGCCTCTTAATTTTCAACAACGACAAGTTTACAGTTTGTTCTCATTCTGTTCAACTTATCTTCCACTATGCTTTCAGTATGCCTCCTTTCGTTGATGTTTTATATGTTCATATGACAAGAATCGTTACCTCATTTTCATCATTGATACAAGATCTCTTGAGTGATCTCTTGCTATTATTTCATAGTAGAACCTTTAAATATACCAAACCAATTTCAGTTACAGACAATCATGTCACCAATTTACCTGAGAAATTTTAATGGAAATCACTGTGGTTTTTCAGCCAAACACTTGCTGATTTTGGTTATTCCCCCGTTGTTACTATATTTGCACTTTAGACACCCAGTTGTAATCTTCGACGATTCCAACTTCGTGTGGATGCTAATTCCTCAATCATGATTTAGTAATGATGTAGTCTTTAACTGATAATTTACCCCTCTTTTGGGTACATATGCACCTATTTTTGTTCACAAATTTATTTTTAATTTCACAGCCAAGATAGTCAACTGGGGTCTGGGTGCATTTCCTAATTACAAATGCTTCCCATCACACCCAATGTTCCGCCACCGCCACCATCATTTCCAAGTTCCAACAATGGGCAAGATACAAAACTCAACATCTTCATTTCACCGGCCATGGCCAGATCAGAAACCAAATATGTTAAGAGTTAGATAGATAAATGATGGATGATGTGAGCGCTTGACCGAGAGTGGTGAATTGGTTGGGAAGTTGCCAAGTTTTTCGGCAATAAGGTGGTCAGCCACCCTGCCGATGAATCAGACCCCATAACGTAACATTTAATATAAATAGCCTTGATTCTGCTGATGTTTCTATTTTTAGAATGTGAATTGAAATGCTGCAGCAAAAGAAGGAGAAGGAAAGATCAATATTTTGGCGGGCTAGGGCTGGAACTGAAAGTTGCGAGGAGTTTTGATGTGCACATATATTTTCTATTACTGAAACTGCTAGCCTTAGATATTTGTGAAAGCTCTCTTTGAGAACTCAGAGTTGTCTGCTTTATTCATCTAATTTGGGCTCAAACAATTGTGCTAACCTATAGTTTTTATTGTCGGGCCTCATTCTCTTTTCACTGATAAATTGCCTAATAACAAAATTAAATTGACCTATAGTGACTTTTGTTTTCCAGGTTCTTTCACTGTGTGTGGTAGCGAATATGAAATATAACCGGTAGCATTTTGTTCTTTTTTATATTCACTTTAGAAATTTTACATGTTTTTTTTTGGAATTCAAGAGGTATGGATCCGTACATCGATAATAACAAATCTTATAAAGAAAAACAATTTAAGCAATTTATATTGAATGTAAAAAAGTATAAAATTTTCTTCTAAAATATAAAAAAATATAGATACCAGTAACCTAGGATGGCCACATCACCAGAATTAATTACTTACTAATATAAAATTCAAAAATAACACAAATATTATTTTCCCTTTATGAATAAACTATTTAAAAGACTGTAAATTTTTTGAAAATATGCAAATTGGTTAATACAAAACAACAAAATATAATACAAAATTCATCCGACCAACGGGTCGGGTAAAAGCTAGTTTAATACTAGTTATTAGATTAATCCAGAGCGGCGAGTGCGTGAGGTGAGAAATTCTGGTGGGAATGATGAAGTTGTGAAACGGAAACAAAATAAAACCTTAACTTGTTTTTACCCTCATAGTTAGTGATACAAACTAATTGATCTCCTAATTACCCTTTAACACTTCTCCACATATTTTTTTACAACACTTCTCCACATAATGAAACCACAAGATTACTCTTAGGATCTGGATTAGTTAAACAAATTCATTTGCCTCTAGTCTTAATGATATGGACCCAGTCTGCTTTTTTCGTGACAGGGGAGTCACCTATAGGCTTTAGACCATTGCAAAACGTACTTGTGAATCAAATTTTGCGTTTCCTCGCATTAAAATGAACTTTACGTGACAACAATTCCAATAACGTAAATAAAATTCTTCACTAACGGGAAAATATCGTCGCATGAAAATTACATTCTATGATGGCAAAAGCTTTTGAGGTACTTTCACCAATATCTCCAACACTTCATCCGGGTATCGTTTGTGGACGAAGGAATGCAAAAGCTTTCTAGTAAAGCTGTCGTCCCACCCGGATACACGAGAAGTTACGTTCAGGACCAATTTACCAAAGGATCCGTGGCATTCTATCCGAGGGTGTAGTAATTGGAGAAATGCGGTTCTGAGTTCCTAGCATACTCGTCAAGCTAACTGAAGGCTACATCTTGCTGGATGTTTGCTCGAAGAGGGGATATCAGCGCTGATTTCATTAGGGCTTGGATGGGGAACTTCAACGTCATCAGAAACGTCGCAAAATTCGCGACAAGATTGGGCCAGTCACTGGCCTCGTCTATAGAGACGTCGGAAGTTGGTATGGACGAGGTGGAAATCATACCCGATATCGAGTCACCCGAGGATGACGAAATCCGGTATGTTTTCTCCGATGGGATCGGGAAGATCGTCTCACAAGAATTCGCCGTGGAAGTGGCCCAAAAATGCGGCTGCCCTCCTTCTACTTCAGCGTTCCAGATTCGGTACGCTGGATTCAAAGGAGTGGTAGCGGTGGATCCCGGATCGAAGAAGAAGAAGAAGCTGTCCTTGAGGAACAGCATGAAAAAGTTGGAGAGCACCCACACAAGGTTAGATGTACTGGCCGGCCTACAGCAGTATCATGGCGCCTTCCTAAACCGCCAGTTGATCACATTGCTCTCCTCACTTTCAATTGAGGATCGGACCACATTTTTGAGGAGAAGCAATAGGCAAATCCTAGACACAATTGACGCAACCTTAACAGATCGCTCCAGGGCACTTGAAGCTGTACAGCTTATGCCAGTTGGAGAGACTACCACGATGGTCCATGAGATGCTACAACTTAATTTACCAACCACACCATGAACCATTCCTTTCCATGATGCTCCAACAATTTAGAGCATTTAAGCTACGTGGCTTCAGATCCAAGACGATCGAGGATATTCATCCCACTGGCAAGGTCGATGATGGGTTGTCTGGATGAAACTGGAATCTTGAGCTATGGTGAGGTTTTTGTCCAATATATCTATCTTTCAATATTACTTACTTGCAATTCCATACTAGTTAGCTAGATGCTTGCTTAGGTGTTTGGCCTTACTAATTAATTTATGTACGAGATCGACCATCTTTGTTTCGTTGTTTGATCTGTTTACTTAACACCAATTTAATTTATACTTGTATATCAGGCCCCACCCCCAATGCATTTTGTATGCTGGGATCGTAGCCTTATTCCCGAAAATAGTGTGGAGCCTATGGACTGAGCTACACGCCTGCTGGACACCCGATGTTGGTTGATCACAACGTAATAATGGAGGTAATGCATTGCCCGCGCTTATTGTAAATTATTATTAGTATATTAAAGCCGCAAGTATGCGGCACTATAGCATACGAAATTATAGACAATTATTATATTTTAATAGGTAATTAGTATATTCTTTACCATATGTCCTGTTCATGAGAGGTATTTATTCCCTATATCCAATTTTATCACAAGTTTTTTATTATTTGCATTACATTAAGGTTTTTAAAGTGAGTTTTTTTACAAAATCGTTTACAAATATCAAAATTATTTTATTTTAATAGGCAATTAGTATATTTTTTTACCACGTGTACTATTCATGAGATGTATTTATCTCCTACATCCGATTTTATCATAAACTTTTTATTATTTGCATTACATTAAGGTTTTTAAGGTTAGTTTTTTTACAAAATCGTTTGCAAATATCAACATTATTTCTCTATATCAATTAAGTAATTAAAAATATATTATATAAAGCTTACAAATTCAGCATTATTTCTCTATTATTTGCATTATACCAAAATTTTGTAAGGTAATTTTTTTTACATAACAATTTTATCAAATTTGACAATTCTGTTTACTTGACTTCACCACTGGATAACACAGTACGAAAGATATATGTAACAGTATTCTTAAAAGTCATGTAACTAAAAATGCTCCTAATTTCATCATAAACTTTTTATCATTAGATCACATAGTACAAAAGATTTTTGCATCTACAACTATTCTTAATTACAAATATATTATATAAAGCTCACAAATTCAACATTTTTTCTTCACAATTTGTTGTTTTTGTTAGGTAAGTTATTTTTTACATAACAAATTAATCTAATTTGATATTGTTTTTAGTTGACTTCACCATTGGACCATAGCGTACGAAAAGATTTGTGTAACACTATTCTATAAAAATTTTGTAATTAAAAATATATTATACAAAGCTCTCAAATATTCTTTAAGGTAAGTTATATATCACTCAAACAAACATATTATCTATGTATTTCATAATGATTAAGATATTACATAAAACTTATGGAACAACCCTACTATGATAATTTGGTGAATTATTTAATTTCAGCTGAATCATTATTATTTGCATTACATTAAGGTTTTTAAAGTTAGTTTTTTTACAAAATCATTTACAAATATCAACATTATTTTATTTTAATAGGCAATTAGTATGTATTTATCTCCTACATCCAATAGCTTTTATTATTTGCATTACATTAAAGTTTTTAAGGTTAGGTTTTTTACAAAACCTTTTACAAATATCAACATTATTTTATTTTAATAGACAATTAGTATATTTTCTTACCACGTGTACTGAGATGTATTTATCTCCTACATCCAATTTTATCATAATCTTTTTATTATTTGCATTACATTAAGGTTTTTAAGGTTAGTTTTTTTACAAAACCGTTTGCAAATATCAACATTATTTCTCTATATCAATTAAGTAATTAAGAATATATTATATAAAGCTTACAAATTCAGCATTATTTCTCTATTATTTGCATTATACCAAAATTTTGTAAGGTAATTTTTTTTACGTAACAATTTTATCAAATTTGACAATTCTGTTTACTTGACTTCACCACTGGATAACACAGTACGAAAGATTTGTGTAACAGTATTCTTAAAAGTCATGTAACTAAAAATGCTCCTAATTTCATCATAAACTTTTTATCATTAGATCACATAGTACAAAAGATTTTTGCATCTACCACTATTCTTAATTACAAATATATTTTATAAAGCTCACAAATTCAACATTTTTTCTTCACAATTTGTTGTTTTTGTTAGGTAAGTTATTTTTTACATAACAAATTAATCTAATTTGATATTTTTTTTAGTTGACTTCACCATTGGACCACAGCGTACGAAAAAGATTTGTGTAACACTATTCTATAAAAATTTTGTAATTAAAAATATATTATACAAAGCTCTCAAATATTCTTTAAGGTAAGTTATATATCACTCAAACAAACATATGATCTATGTATTTCATAATGATTAAGATATTACATAAAACTTATGGAACAACCCTACTATGATAATTTGGTGAATTATTTAATTTCAGCTGAATCATTATTATTTGCATTACATTAAGGTTTTTAAAGTTAGTTTTTTTATAAAATCATTTACAAATATCAACATTATTTTATTTTAATGGGCAATTAGTATGTATTTATCTCCTACATCCAATAGCTTTTTATTATTTGCATTACATTAAAGTTTTTAAGGTTAGGTTTTTTACAAAACCTTTTACAAATATCAACATTATTTTATTTTAATAGACAATTAGTATATTTTCTTACCACGTGTACTGAGATGTATTTATCTCCTACATCCAATTTTATCATAATCTTTTTATTATTTGCATTACATTAAGGTTTTTAAGGTTAGTTTTTTTACAAAACCGTTTGCAAATATCAACATTATTTCTCTATATCAATTAAGTAATTAAGAATATATTATATAATGCTTACAAATTCAGCATTATTTCTCTATTATTTGCATTATACCAAAATTTTGTAAGGTAATTTTTTTACATAACAATTTTATCAAATTTGACAATTCTGTTTACTTGACTTCACCACTATATAACACAGTACGAAAGATTTGTGTAACAGTATTCTTAAAAGTCATGTAACTAAAAATTCTCCTAATTTCATCATTAACTTTTTATCATTAGATCACATAGTACAAAAGATTTTTGCATCTACCACTATTCTTAATTACAAATATATTATATAAAGCTCACAAATTCCACATATTTTCTTCACAATTTGTTGTTTTTGTTAGGTAAGTTATTTTTTACATAACAAATTAATCTAATTTGATATTGTTTTTAGTTGACTTCACCATTGGACCACAGCGTACGAAAAGATTTGTGTAACACTATTCTATAAAAATTTAGTAATTAAAAATATATTATACAAAACTCTCAAATATTCTTTAAGGTAAGTTATATATCACTCAAACAAAAATATGGTCTATGTATTTCATAATGATTAAGATATTACATAAAACTTATGGAACAACCCTACTATGATAATTTTGTGAATTATTTAATTTCAGTTGAATCATTAAATAAATGGATGAACTTTTAAATATAATTAGTTTCTTACCGCTGCGAAGCGCGGGTCAAAAAACTAGTTATTAATTAAATATCAAGTGCATATATAGTCATGTACGTACATTAATTCATTCTATCCGACCCTATTAATTAATTAATTACAACCATGACAGATAGATAGAATTTAACGTCTCACCCATATGTGTGTATATATATGGCCGGATTACTTGTTAGATGATACCTGTGGGGTAATCTCCAACACACACATGGTAGAAGCAGATTTAGCATATGACGGTGCAAAGAGCCCGATATGCACACAACTTACAAAAAGTTTCTCCACCGCCGTCGATTTTGCCAAGATCGAGTGGCATTCCAGCAAAACTGGCAACTGGTTCCGCTGTCGTTCAAAAGTATCCAGACTTCATGGAGATGCGCAACAAAGAGTCCTATGAGTCGCCGAATGTACGTCTTAGGGAAACTCTTTCGGGAAGTCTGCAAAGTCCCAGAAAACCTCGACTTGAGTGTGATGCAGGAATACTATGACGTACGTGGATATGGAGGTGGAGGGATACCAAGATCACTTGCACATCGCCTCCATACACAAGAATGCTTTTGATGGCAGACTCAGAAGGCTGATGAAAACTTACGGGTGCCGCACCGAAGCAGAGTTACTAACCACCTACTCTACAAATACAGGAGATTACGAAGAAGCCAAAAATGCAGTGGAGTCATTAAGAGATCGAAGAGGTCAGATCGTGGTTAGATGTCGATGTTGATGTTTTGGATGCACAAGCCTCTGCTCTGCTTGGTACCATGTAACTTACCATCCAAGTTAAGTTACAGGGAAGCAGACCAGCCTCATTTCCGCAGCTTCCCGTGGTGCATATACGATAAACTTCTCAAAATTAAGAGGCGGAATATGGCACCCTAGTCAGACCGATCGAGAAAAAACGTTTGAAACACTGGTGTTGTGATGTACTGCTATGTATTCAATTCCATTATCTTAACTAGAGTAATCAAGTAATAGAACAATGATTCTTTTGTGTACTGGAATAATTTCAATTAGACAAAGAAGATCATCTACAAAGACCTAGCAGAATCAATTCCAGAGTTCGAAAACTAAAAGGGAAACCTAAACAAAAGGTAAACAAAGACAAAGGAGTACACAAGAAAGAGCCACGCCCAGATAAGCTTGAATTCCTGGCAGAATGCCCCAATTCAAGCTGATCCAGACACGAACACCGAACCCAATCTAGAGACTCCCAAGGAACAAACCCATTCTTACTGAGTCAAGGAAACCATTACCCATCTTCTTCCTGGCGAGGTCTTTATATAGCATTAGCCATCCCACTCTTTTGTCTCTCTTCTTCAATGCTGGTTACCATTTAAAGGGGAATTGATGATGGCGACAATCGATGCACAGGCGACTCAGGGTTGAGGAGATTGACTGTCCTCGAGGGTACTGATGACAGGGGTGAAGGCAAAGACGCA